ACTTATTATTGCTTTGTGTTACGGATCTGAGTGGCACGGATGCACTCAACTTTTGCCATCTCTTAATCCTCTACTACCTTCACTAATCTTATTATACGGCGAAAACAAGTGTGAAATTACACTGATGGCTACACAGATGAGGATGGATTTCGCACCAATGTCATCATTGGTTGGTGGTCGTGCTAAATCACAAATTGGTAGAAGTTGGAATTCATCCATTGGCCATTGAATCGGGTCCCAGTGGCTGAATGGCCTACGAGCTCGGTGGCCTTGTAACCGGAAGGTCCTGGGTTCGAACCCTGGCAGTGAGTGCGTACTGCCAATGAATCCCAAACTAGGATGAAACAGCTAGCTGTCCAGTACTCCCAGGTTTCCCATCGGTTCTCCAACTGATATCAATCTGTGGTGAAACTCGTAAAAACAAATTTAATCCTTACAAACCAACTCTTGAAAAAAAATGAGGTGAGATGAAATTTACCAGAAAAAACATTACCAGACTCTAGATAGAGCAGTACACCTTACAAAAAAAGTACTTTTGACCAATGTGGTGGTAAGGGTTACTTCTGAGAATTTAAGCTTCAACACTTGAATCTAATCTGTATCATAAATTTCTGAGTGATCCACTTTACACATTAATTGTAAACACAATTAATCAAACATTATTAAGGTCTCATTACTATGGCGTAAACAGTAGTAATTAATAATCAAGGTCACATTTGTTCGTCCGGTTTTCAGGGTAAGTTTTATATCTTTTCAATCAACTCAAAAGATAGATCAAGTATGTCGGAAACAATTCAGCGCATGATAACTACACAGATAAATAAACTTTCAATTCTAATAAACAAACTTGTCATGGCAGAACACTTCAGGAAAACAAAGGCAATGGTTTCTAAAGTTGATACTAACTCATGACGACCAAAGACTATAAAGGTTCATATTTTGAAGATTCGTAACAGGTGCAATTTAATTGAAAAGTGTGAAAACCTCAGTGTATTCATAGTAGAATATATATATATATATATATATATATATATATGGTTAACCCAATAAATTTATGCAAGTTGCAGAGCAATAATGGTAGTTATGATTCTTAAAAAGAGTATACATGATAAAATTAGACTGGTAGAAGTGACTAGATAAGTTATTTCTCGTGATTTTCACGTGTACTGCAGTAATGCACAAGACCAATGTGATAAACAAACATAATCAATAGTATAGGATTTCTTTTTTTTAAATTGTAAACAGAGAGTGAGTACGTGCGATTTATCTATTTTTTTTTTCGTAAATCATGGAGATCAGTGGACGTGAAAGTTATAATGGGTTAATATTTGATCAAATATTTACAACTATACACGGTGAAAATAATGTTTATAATGCACCAGTAAACAATACAGGCTTCGGTTACACAATAAGTTTAGCTTTTCTTAATATGTCAGAAAAGAAGGTTAAAACAGAGACAAAATTTCAGCCTTCTAATATCTTATACGTAGACCATTTTATGTAACTGCGGTTCAATATCCAACAACCCTAATATTTAGCTTCTCAATGACACAAAATCTATGAGGAGATTATGAAGTACAGTCATGCTAATGCTAAAGAACTGGAAAATATTCGTCTTTAGCTAGGAGAAAATGAAACTTCTCATTTTCAGCAATTATGAATAGTAATCAACCGAAACATTGGTGCACATTGCAATAAGGTGCAGATAACGAACGTATATATATATATATATTTCTTTTGTATACGTCCAACCCCTGTCCTTGCCATGGCCATCATAAACAGGTAATTTTTAGTAATCACCATCCCATCGCCTTTCATATATATATATATATATATATATATATATATTTCTTGACCTAAAGGCAGCATTCGACTCTGTCGATCGAGTTCTCTGGAGATGCTTGGCTGTAAAGGGAATTCCAAGAAAATATATTGCACTGATTAAGGCACTCTACTGGTACTCATACAGCCAGGTGAGGGCTTACGGCTAGCTGTCATCTGAACTGGTGACGACCAGTGGTGTCCGTCAAGGATGCCCATTATCCCCTTTTCTATTCAACTTCATCATAGATGTACTAATGGACTTAACCCTAAGTGACTTCAGCGACTTACGGATTGACTTGCTACCTGGGAATAATCTCGTTGACTTGGAATATGCAGACGATATAGTCCTTCTAGGCGAAGACGCTGACGAAATGCAGAGTCTTCTGAACACCTTGAGCTGTAATCTACGAATGTTTGGCATGCGATTCGCTACCGCCAAATGCAAGATGATGTTACAGGACTGGACTACATCGACGCCTAGTTTAAAAATAGGAAGTGAAGTGGTAGAGCACGTTAACCGCTTCACTTATTTGGGAAGTACCATCAGCCAACACCAACAGGTTGATCTCTGACGAAATCTCAGCTTTTTACGAATACAGGGGGCTCGTTTCGCATTTGCCAGTTTACGCCGACTCTGGCGTAGACAAGATGTTCGATTATCGACCAAAGGGAGGGTGTACTGCTCATCAGTCCGCTCCGTCCTCCTTTATGGTTGTGACACCTGGCCACTGAGAGTGGAAGACATGAAAACCGTGGCTAGGTGTCTTTGATGATAGGTGACTGCGTTCTATTTCCGTGTAAAGTGGCATAATAAGGTGAGCAACATTGAAGTTAGGCGTAGAGTTCTAGGTAAACAGGGGAAATCAACCGACGAATTCGTGAAGTTATAAAGACTGAGATGGTCAGGACATGTGTTACGTATGCCAAGCCATCGCCTCCCTCGACGAGCAATGTTAGCGGATATAGGGTCAGGCTGGAAAAAAAGCTAGCGGCGGTCAAACAAAAACTTGGCACCAGTCGATGAAATCCACAACAGTTGGTCAAAGCCACGTAGGAAGGTGTAGACTTCCTGGTTGGTGTCCTCGGGACGGTAAAAACCAATGGCTCGAAACAATCGTTGATATGGCTGGCTCAAAATCGTTCTCAATGGCTGGCACACATGCATCCACACCTTGTGACTTATAATTTCCAATCAAACTATATTGTTCTTCGTTATTAATCTCCCTTTGTCTCACACCTCTGTTTACTGTCTCTATTATGCTTTTCTTCTAGTTTCTTCTCTTGATATGTGTGATACATGGAGTGTGGCGACTCGAACTGCTGCACATTTGTGCAAAGTTCTATGTCGAAAACAGACGGAGATATATATATATATATATATATATATATATATATATATATATATATCAGTAACAACTGAACATTTACGTTAACACAATTTTTTGTGAAACGTGGATGATACACTTCTCAGGGACACTTTACTATATACGACTATCCAGAATAACTGTCGTTCCTAACGAATGGGAAGCAGTCCTAGTGATAACGAAAACAACGATTGTTGGCGTACACTACATGTAATAGTGAACTATCAACTGAAGGTGTTAAACAATTAATGATCGAATTTCACTTTCCCTAACAACCTAGTCCTATTTTACCCTATGGATTTCTTTCTCTGATTGTTGACATAAATAACTTTGAAAAGAAGATAAACATCATACTTATAAGACACTCTCCACCTGCTAAACATTGTAGTCATTCGACTGATATCGAACTATACAGATAGGGGTGTTTCCCTCTGATAACCTTTCCGATTTTATGACGAGGTGTTAAAATCCCCTACCGAATGTACTTCGCGACTTATAGTAGGTTGGTCCATAGCCAGCAGTTTCGTATTCCGTACGGACGAAGTTCCCAAATCTCCACCTCTGAACAGTCCTGCCTCAATCAATAGTGTTCCAGTTGTACAAAACTAATGCATTTCTTTTTAATTTACTCTATTAAGTTATCCACTTCCACGGTGTAAGCAGATCGAACACATACATAGACTAACACACGAAGTTCTCTGTTTATCGTCAACTAACTTATTGCACCGACTCCTGGTTTAAGGATAGGTGATAAAATGACTGAATGTAAGTACCATTTCACTTGTTTCATGAACCCTGATGTACTGATTGCTAACGAAAATTTCCCAAGAATACAAAAGGTTTTCGTGAATTTGCCTTATTTTTGGCACAGCATTTCAGCAGTCACCCACCCAGACGATGTGCCTACTATACAACTGTTTACTTTGTCCTTCTTTACAACTGCGAGACATAATCATTACAAGTCGGAGTTATAGAGAGATCAATGTCACTCATGGTAGTTGCTGCAACAGATTCGATAACAATGAGGTTAAGCTTAGTGTTAGGTAAAAGGGGAAACAACACTCTAATTTGAAATTTCAGTCAATGCGCTAAGGATGGGATGCAGATCAATGAAGTTGTGAAGCTCCATCTGCTCAGGTGACTACCATGTGTTACGAATGCCATCAACTTTTTTCTACGTAGCAATGGAAAAGGTAAATGGTAGTCGGACCGAAACAAAGCACCATCCCATCAAATCTTTGATCTTTCATGTTATAGCCAGATGTAGACTGCTTGGCTAGAATCGTCAAGATGCTACGAATCAGTGACTGCAGACTGGTGATGTGGCTCAAAATTGTCCTCAATGACGCAGATGCACCCAGCCTTTGTAATCCCTTATATCAATTAAATCGCCATGTTTTTGCATGTTACTATTCTTTCTCCCGTATACTTCTACTCATCATAGTTACTTCTAATTTATTTCCTCTTCTCTACCTTTGTATGCTACAATGTATGACAGGCCTAAACTGTTGCACATTTGTATGATGACAAATTAGTTTAAAAATTGATTTTTGTTAACAAATAAATATCATGTCAATGTTCTTTGGGAATTAAACTGCACAGTGGCGTCCTTGATTGCACCGTTGAGAGATATTGTGTACGAATGCTACACGAGCTTCTTTGAGAACGAGAATACACTTTTTAATGAACGCTGAAAGAAATAAACACTTTTTAAACTTTCTGGCTACCACTAATTATTTAACATTATGGAAAATTTCCTCTCGCATTTAATTTAATAATCAAAATCGCGAAATCTGTATATCAGAAACTCACTCATGTGTGTAAAACGGAGCATTTCGATCGCCGCTTTTGGAGATGCCCGTGGTATTCGGAGGAGTACTTGAGCTCATGAGTGAGTCACTACTGAATGAGAATACGCCAACAGATTCATCTTCATCACAGTGTACAGTTTTATCCGTTTCGTTTGAATCAATTGGATCCACAAGGCTAACCGATTCAGAAATACTTGTGGCCTCAATAGCAATCTCCACACCTGATTTACTCTGTTGCTTCAACTCATCACTGTAGGTTGTATATGCAGTAGGGTCTTTGCCATTTGTCTATATGATTTTAAAAATAGCAAAAGAAAAACTAAAAATAATGAAATAATACACAACCGGTCACTGAGTGAAGTCAGCTGTAAAATAATAATGAACAACAGTAGCAAATGAAAACTATTACTGATTTACACCATCAATTGCAGAAGTAGCAGGGAATTCAGAACACAATGAAGATGATTTTCTTATACTAGATAAATTTACTAGCTTAAATGGATTAAAATAACTGATTTTCTACAAACTGTTTGACCATTCTGTGACAGAGAGTAACAAAAATCGTTTACAAACTTTTCAGTTACATAGAGAAGTATGAGGTAAGAAGCAAGGAGAGACTAATGACATGTGTTACAAAACGAGATAACACGATTCAGTTGCCGTTTTCGCTAGACCACGTAACCTTACAAAGCATTCTTATCACCTTAGAAAGTAGAACATTCGTGGTATTAAAGTGCAACTAAAACAACAGCTGGGATTATATCGCTTTCATTATGATAAACGCTAGACTTGAGCTCCATTAAGTGTTTTCCAGACTGACTCAGTGTAAAAAAATCCAACGAACAAATAGGCTGACAGAAAATGCAAAACTATGTTCGGATGAAGAAAATCGTAGAAGAAGTAAGTTCAGATAGACAATAAAAGTGTGACTGAGAATAAATCCAAAAAACCCACAATGGTTCACTAATTCATATATTAAAGCGAAATGGTAAATATATTAATGATAACGTTAATGATTATGATTATTTAAATTTCTCCATTTCCATACATGAGACATATCTACAATCTATCGATTCTTACTAGATGAAGTGACAGTGTTTAGACATTTAATCTATACATAAAAACAGACTTAACATTTAGACACCACTACAAAGCTATGCAATATAGAGTCTCACTAACAGCAAACTTGAAACTAGGCCTGATCACCGGTCTCAGTCAACACTGATGTTGAGAATAACTTGTAAAAAATTAGTCTGAGTGATATAATAAGGTTTACAAACAACTGAGTAATCCACTTAGTGAAACTAGAAAGACAAACGGTAAGCTAGTGTTAAAGGTTCGAGGAATTGAGAAGCTATAAAGCATTTCTAATGACGACTGAAAGCAGTAGGGGATAAGATCTCAATGGGGAGATATAAATGCTAAATTGGGAGGAGAATGCATCATGGATCGAGAAGATTCCAGGGAAATGAATGGTAACGGAGATCTCCGCAAACTTATGTGCATTCAGTGATTTGGTGATCGGAAGCAGTATGCACAACCATAAAGATATACACAAGGCAACATGGATTTCACCTGATGGACACACCAGAAACCAAATAGACTTCATCTCAACCTTTAGAAAGTGGTGACGCAGCCTGCAGGACATAAAATAGAGAAGAGAGACAGGTGTGTGCTGAGGCCACTATATAGTTCAAGGAACCTTTAACACCAAGCTGAAATCCTTCAGAACAACCGGACACAGGAGACAATTCAAGTTCGACATTCAGAAACTGAAGGACAAAACTTCACCACAGATATTAGAGGAAAGTCGAAGAGACTACGTGGTATCACCGGGAAGCCTGAGTGGAAGAACACTGAAACTCTCTGAAGGCAATGTTTAAGGGAAAGTGTACAACTGTTCTAGGGAGAAAGAAAAGGAATAGCTTTCAACTGACGCTACTTGGAAACTAATAGAAGAGAGGAGGATGGTGAGACAGAAGATGAACTAATGCAAAGATGGACAACAGAAGGCGAAGCTAAGTTCAATGTCAAACGCACTGAATAAAGAAGCAAAGAAGAATAGTAGGAGAGACGAAAGACAATTTCACAACATTGTCAACTCAAGCAGAACAGGTCGCAGGCTAAAGAGACATCAGGACGCTACATCAGATAACTAGGGAAAGATCAAAACAAATGAAACCAATTAATGACTATCAAGGGAATCTAATTGCCAAAGAGGAAAAGCAAAGAAAACAATAGATTGACCACTCCAAAGGACTCTTGAACCAACCATCTCCTGCAACTCACCCAGATGACCATCAACAGCAGACACAGAACTGCCAATGGACACAAGTCGTCTAATGAAGGGAGATCTCTTGAAAGCAGTGAAGCTACTGAAGTCTTGGAAAGCGGCAGGACCAGACGGAATTTCCCTTGCCCCTGAAGCACTGAAAACGAACCGAGAGACTGCAGTAGACTTGCTCACGCCATTATTACAAAACGTTTGGAAGGAGGGAAAGGCACCTACTAATCGCAAGAAAGACTACCTTGTCAAGCTGCCAAAGAAGGGCGACTTACGCCTCTGAAAGAACTGGCGTGGAATGACGCTCTTGTCGACGCCCAGGGAAATATCAAACTCCATCATTCTGGAGGAACTGAAGGATGCTCTGGATTCAGAAATCCACCCCAAACAAGCTGAATTCCGGAAAGGCAAATCCCATGCTGACCAAATCGCAGCACTACGAATCACCTTCGGGCAGAGCATACAATGGCAATAAAATCTCTACCTCAACTTCATCGGCTTTGTAAAGGCCCTCGACAGCGTTTACCGCGAATTGATATGACTTCTGCGACACTAGGAATTGCCTCAAACCCTTATCAACCTCACTCAACAACTATATGATAATGCCACGGGTTGTGATCCACAACGGAAAACTCAGTTTGGGAATCTTTTACACTCAGTATCAAGAACAAAATTCGAATTTTCAACTTCAATGTGAAGTCAGTTAGTGCTTCTATGTGGGCCACAAACTTGACGCGTTACGAGAAGTATTCCTAACAACCAGCTGCACACATTTATCAACAGCTACCTTGGCTAGTCTCATAGTGAAGATCAGATAGCTGATGGAAAGAATTAACAACAATAAACCTTGGAAACGAACAGACCAAGAACCTATTACTCAACAAATATTCCGAATAAAGTGAAGATGAAGAGATCATCGAATAACATTGCACGACTGGAACCTGAGTGGGAAACGATTTTGGCGTCTGGTGGTAATATCCAGGGGATGAAGGCTTATAGGCAATAGTGGAACGAGATAAAGAAGACTGCGGAGAACAGGACAAAACTGAGATCTGTTGTCGAATTCCTACATCTCACTCGAAACCCAAGGGGATAATTATACGCACACACATGTATATATTCACTTAACTAAAAGAAAATTATTGGGATAAATTTTAACGGTGTGGATTCATCTCTTTTATTTAATTATCTGTAATTAACCTATAGGCAAAATCTGAGAATCAGCTACTTTACCCATTTTGAGTGAATACGAAACCAGTCATTTTAACAAGGACATCAGTGTGTTGATATAGCTGCGTAAGAATTGATACAATCACTATTGCACGCAAAATTAGGAAACAAACTGTACTTAGAAACTTATAACCTCAAACAAAAGTTTGTAACTTAGTATTTACCTCATTGGGCTGTCGAGAACCCATACTAATATTCCGCATTGCTTCATCCAGGCCACTAATATCATCATCCTTGTCAGTGAAGAACTTTATTGTCCCGACAGAATCCCAATCATGTTTGGTTGAACTACTACGAGGACTTAAGCCAGGAAGTTTAAGCGGCTTCTTCGAGTTTCTAAATTTTGATGAATGATAAAAAACAGTTCCATAAAATAGGTAGGCTTAAGTCAGTTCAAAATTTCATGCTTTTTACTTAATATCTGTAGTTTGCCTAGTACACATTGAAACACCCTAATAAGCTGGAATACCATTTGACCGGCTATGTTTCGAGTAACCTGCAAGTCACACAACAGTTGTATACCGAGTTAAAAGTTTGAGAAGTGAAGCTCATTCATCCGTCGCTTCAACCTCAGTATGAGATAAGAACTCAAATGCTTTCTCTACATATCAACTAAAGTATATTATCTGAATCTATCCTATTCATGCAAATGTTATTTTCACAGTGAAAGTTATTTAGTTTTCGAAGTCAATAACTGAGTAGATTTTAGGTATGAAATACCCTATTTTTTACAACCAGCACATGAATACAGAATGAAATACAGTAAGCACTTTATCTGCTTTGTAAGTTCACTTAATATTTACAAGCAATTTATTCCGCTTTTGCTGAATTATGGAACAAAGTAAACTGGTGAGTAGGGGATTTTAGGCTTCGCATCAACAAAATGAAAGAAATCTCCACAGCACATTACTATTCCTTGCGACATACAAAGAAATCACGAGAGAGACTGGCGATGAGAATTAATTCTTGTACCTATGATAAAACTCGGAAAAAAATATTATTCAGAGTAAATTATCCTAACAGCTATTTTTGATTTACCCCATCATATTAAGTACTAACACTATTTTTATCGTTACTCCACTATATAACTACAGTACTCACGTGTTAGTTCTGCATACGTGGTCATACATGTTTTGAACTGCAAAAACAAGACCGACAGTGCATCACAATTTGGCTTTAAAAAACTCCTGAGTGAAATTAGTGGATAACAAAAATATAGTAACCCAAATAGGTCTATGCAATCACTTACGGTGAAACGGACCGCCTCATCACTTAGTAGCGCAACAGAGAAATGTGGCGCTTCCTTAAGCCAGTTCAAGGAAACATACCTTGAATTTTATATAGGCTACTATATAAAAAGCAAAGTCCTGCGCGTATCATTTATAAGTATAAAATCACCTTTTTTGATGGTTCATTAAGCCATGTGTATTAGTAGTCAACTACATTTCAGACTTCATATTCCAGTTATTGTTATTTTTTCATTTTGTTTCTTCCCTTCATCACTTCATTTTGAGTATGACTCACGTCCTATACTTTTTGATTTTCAGGCAAAGTTGGTGTTATATTCAGCGGATGTATTTTGCTGACCAGGCTCAAACTTGTCTTGTTCCAGGGTTTACTATAGGCTAGTAAACTTCGCGACGTTAAGGAGTACGTTGGCCAGAAATCGATCGAAAAATACCAGGGCGGCTGTCGGCCAATAAAAACCAAGCTACAGCCTCAACGACTTAGGAAGTATAATTGTATTGGTATCTATGAAATAAAAATTTACTCGGGTAAGAAAACGATTATGTGGAATGCTGACTGCTAACTACTCCCATTCAAAATTACGAGTGCGTGACGTTACTGCGAAAGGCTGGAAGCAAAACAGAGCTCGCCTTCACTTTCTGTATATTTTTTACCGCATTTTGTTGCTTATAGGCACATTTGTAGACAGTCATCTTGAATGGTACAAAATGGTTACAAAATAATGATTACCGGCGCGGATAACCAACGAGAGCCTTTGGTTGGGGAACTACTAGTGATATAGTGTGATGACTAAGGTTGAAATGAAAGTGTGGGAAGTGTTACTATTACAGCAAGTCACTCGGATTTCAGTTTCATTCGTCATTTCCCTCCAGCGTGCTTCACTTCTCAAAAAAACAGGATTAACACCAATGGATGTGCGTCGGTGGCACAGTGGTTAGGACTCTCGTCGACCATGCACATGGTCCGGGATTCGAGCCCGCACCGACGCACATCTGATATCTATGATTGGCCTGCAAAATTTGGGCTACCGATATCCATGCTGAAAATTCCATACTTGTACCGAAAATACAGTGTGGAATCAAGCTGTAAATAAAAAAAGTAAATAAAAAATAAAAATAAAATTGGATTTACTGTGACTGAGTTAGCTCCTATCCGCCTGTGGATGGTACGCTTTGAGGGAGTTTCGTTTCAATAGACATGCATGCGACATGGACGGCACTTTTTTGTGATAGCGATGCGGATAACTTTGATTAAAGTAAAAACGACAAGTGCGCCACCATAGTCTGAGCTCCTTTTTAGGGATTCTTCTCAACAGGACAGAGTCTGAACAGTACAAAAATAACAAATTAAATTAAACATGTAAACATACTTTTTTAACAGTAATGAAAAGTGGCTGATTGGGACTACTAGTAATATTGCTCAGGAGTTATGCAGTTGTTAGATACTTAAGAGCGATAAGGGTTGACTAGTTATAGAAGAATTGTATGGCGGAACTTGGAAACAAAAGGACAAAGCTCGACAAAGGATTCCTGGATAGACGGGAGGTTTAACTTAGAGGAGTATAAAATGGGTATACGTTCTCACCAAGTACTCAAAAAGGGTGGTAAAGGTGTCATGACAGTAGATGATTTAGTAAAATTTGTATGTTTTTTTATCACGAAGATGATACAAGATTCATCACTGTCTCCTTCTTAAAACGTAGATTTGCTTGTAGCTGTCCGATGGCGGTCGCCTCAGCAAAACGGTTCCGACCAGGTTTGTTTTGTCTGATGGCTGTTTTGAACGCTTTTAGATTATCCACAGCATGGCCAGTGTCTAGTAGATGGAGTGTAATCGCCCTGCTTAATACTTCTAGCCTCTTTAATCAGGGAGATCGTCAGAGTTCTTCATTTGGGACACCCTTCTAAAAGTTTCCTTAATTTCGTTCGTAGGAGACTTGATATTTGTCTTATTTACATTTGTCATCGTTTAGAGAGCATTTTCGAACAACTACGCTGTTATCTGACACTTTTGATTAATACTGACAGCAGTTAAGATAAATTACTGGTCAGTTAGTCGTCGGGTTTGCAGTAAGTAAGGCTGGTGTCGTGTAATATCAGCAACAAGACTATTCGCTTACACACGTATGTATGACTACAGAGACGGAATGGAAACACTTTGATATGCAGTATATTTCTGGTTAACTTCGGGACTTCTAGATTTTGCCTAACATCCCTCTGAGTTATCTTTCTTCTGAGTGGAGGGTAGCGACAAAAATTTCCCATTTCTCTCTTGCTAGTAACGCTCTGACATTAGCAGGAATGAATATTTCAGAATACATGAGAAACACCGAAAGCTCATGTATTTTGAATTTTCCAGCAATCCTGTGTTTACGAATAAAGAGATGATTGTTATATTTCTAAGTGAATATACTTTCATGACAAAGAACTAATTTTGGATGGCAGCAGTTCAAACTAGACATCTCACCTTTGTAACCTAGTGCAGATTCAAGTGTACGTGGAAAAATCAGTAATTCAAAAATTCTAATAAGGCGTTCGTTGAAATGCCCACTGACTATATGATTAATACCGTACTGAAATAACATGTAATCCGTCTCATAGCAGTCATGAAGCACCTTTGACGAAAGAAGTCTTTCAAATCCCTGCCTCCCGATCCCTAGTATAAGCTCATTGAATATTCTGACGTTTAAGCCTGAACCCGATGATCTATTAATCACGCGTCAATTGCCTATATAACACTCCCCGATAATTGAAGGTCGCTGGTCCTTGAACTATATAGTGGCCTCAGCACACACCTGTCTCTCTTCTCTATTTTATGTCCTGCAGGCTGCGTCACCACTTTCTAAAGGTTGAGATGAAGTCTATTTGGTTTCTGGTGTGTCCATCAGGTGAAATCCATGTTGCCTTGTGTATATCTTTATGGTTGTGCATACTGCTTCCGATCACCAAATCACTGAATGCACATAAGTTTGCGGAGATCTCCGTTACCATTCATTTCCCTGGAATCTTCTCGATCCATGATGCATTCTCCTCCCAATTTAGCATTTATATCTCCCCATTGAGATCTTATCCCCTACTGCTTTCAGGTTTCATTGGAAATATCGTCTCTTGTCGCGTTAGTTGTAGCACTGGACGATTGTAACATTCCTTCGTTTTGAGACGAATTTTGCTGCCATTATCCAAAATAAGATTGATTTCCACTGCATAAGAATTTTGGCTGCGTTGGAGACAATATCGTGATCACCTCCTTGGAGGGCTAGTGTTTGTTGTTTGGACAACTGTGGAGGATTTCTGACTCGGCACTCAACAATTTGGACAATCTTCGTCCATTTCACATGCTTTCACATATTTTGTAGTCTTTCTATGCCGTATTTCCCCACTTCTTAGACAAGCTGAGCACCCTGCTTAACTTCGTACATCGCACGAATATTGCACGTCCCAATGTCTCTTTCCGCTTTCATCTAGTTTTCATACCGTCTGACCTCCTGAAATCTTTCAACAGCTGACGTCATTGAGCCTTCCAGATTCCGGCTGAATGTAATTTCTTTTATTATAACTTATTAAATTTATAATTTTTGGGTGAGGAAGTTTATGTAACATTTCGACTGTTTTTGTGGCATAGGGTAGCTAGCCCTACTCCTAAACCTTCCTGTCGTGCGCGGTATCGGCAGAAAAGTAGGGAGTTAGTAAACTAGGCGATGTGATGAGCACTGAGTTAATTTATGGCGAATTTCCAGGTTTTTATTGGTTTACACTGAGCAATTCAAATGTGGATCGTCCTCGTTTAATTTGGCCTGTCTGACGACATAACGGGGGTTTCTTATCGAATGACTGACGCACTTCTGTTGTACTCACCTAATGGAAAATTTCAAAGCTGCTTCAACTTCAGTCCTAGTCCTCCGCTCTCTAGGTCTAATGTGTACTTCAAAAGCTTTACTGATACCAAATCTGAATGGACTCTGGTAGGCGACTGCACGCTTAAAACATCAACGAGGAAGATACAGATTTTAACAGATTTCTAAAAAGCAATAAGAGGAGAAAAGGGCTGGAAACCACAGCTTAAGTCATCAAAACATGTTCATATGCATAATCTCAAAAACTTTCATGGAGTAATAATCTATCAGCAGCTGAAAGACTGGAAAACTGAAGTGAAGCATGGAGGCTACATAAGGAAGAATTAAAATTAAATGGATGAATTCTAGTAATGGCAGAAACTTCCGAAATAAACGAAAAAACTGATTTTAACGCTAAGGAAAGCCAAAAGCATCCCAAACGCAAAATGAGTGCATAATCCATATTGATATTATTTGTAAACAACCGGACGATTAACAGAAACCGGTGTATTAATGAACGGTCATCAAACAGCGGATCCAGATAATAATTGTAATAATTTATATTTCGTATAAACGGGTAAGTTTACAGGGAGTGCATGCCACTTTTACAGCCACGATCAGTTATGTTATAAATTACACTCCTGAAGTATCATAAATTGATAATTTTTCAAAGTTCTAAATTGCCCAATTATTGTGCAAGCAAGCAGAACAGGTTCTTATAAATCTTAAATCGTAAACCGTTTACTAAGGTCACCATCAAAGTTGAGCGAAAACCAGAAATTCGTTTCGTTTCCTGTTAATAGTTATCGTCAACTAGTAAGCAGCGTATGTCCGGGTGAGTGCTATGCCACCACCGGATTGAAGGCTATTTCGGGAAGAGAAGAACGTGTTGGGAAGCTTCAAAATGGCATAAAATACAATCGTGGATAATAAAACATTGAAAAGGCATTTACAAGATATATACAAGAAGGAACTGGAGACTCCTTGGAATGACAGTATACATTCGCAATGTTTAATGCCAACCATAGTGGTTTAAACATGGAAACTATGGTGTTTTAAAATATTGGTATTGTTGTGTTTTTAATCAAGGCAACCAGAATTTAGGCAAGCAACAAATATGAACAAAGGCTATTTTTAGCTTTAATAATGGCCTAGGTAGTTCAGATAAAGTAGAGTATAACAGTGCATAAATG